CCGTGGCTTTTTCGCGCCAAAACCATTTCGTCCGGCGCCCCCGAGCGTCCCCAGCGCGCCGGGTTCGCCCTGAATCCGCCGGCGCCAATTTCGGTCCGAACCGATGAAAATTGAGCTTCTAGGGATGTGATTGGGCCAATTTTTATGCATCGGCGTGCAAAATTCATCTGAGAAGAACGTTTTGGGGCTCAGCTAGAGATGCTCTTACCATGCTAGGGTGTTGCGTCCTGCCGGCGTGAGGAATTTGCTGAAGCACAGTCGACCTCTGGATTTTCCTTAGAATTTAGCTTCCCCGATTACAAATTATGAAAGCTTCATTCTTGTCCTTGTAGTACATCCGTACTAAAGTCTTGCTGCAGGTAAAGGGTTCACGGAAATATGGAATTGGGGAATATATAGGAGCACTACCATCGTTATTACTTCGGTCTTTTTTATATTTGGATTGGATGTACTAAAAAGGAAAGGTCCTTTTTTTCTTTAATTGTCATGGTGACACATGCGCGTGCATCATTCTCACACGAACAAAAATCAGTTTGTCTAATTCATATCTAGATATTTTTTAAGGATGTCACATTAAGCTCTCACAAATATATAATGCAGCAACAGCCAACAAGAAACAAAAAAAATTAGGACAAAAAAAAATAGACCACAAACAAAGTGAAAATCAGTTTAGATGCGATATAATTATGTCACATCTAGATGTGTTTTAGACGGATCCAACAAAAATATGCCTCTAATGCTAACTCCAAGGCGGACCCATAAACCTCCCTTAACCGTTCGGATTGTGTTGTCCAGACGCGGAAGCGATCCAACGCCAACATGTATCGGTCCGCGGGGCGATACGTGATTTCTTCCGAAAATTGGAGACAAAAGTGTGGGAGGTTTGCGGGAGTCCGGACACCCGAAACGTAGGACCCCGACACCCCCGGCCCACCCAATCCCTCTTCCCGGTCCCATTTCCTTCCACTCCACCCCTTCTCCCCTTACTTTGCATCTGCACCCTCCATCTCTGTCGCCGTTGTTGTTCGTCTGTGGCCGATGGAGCTTTCAGCCTTGGAGCCGTTTGTATCCAGGTCACACCGCCCCCGTCATTGAGCTTATTTTCAAATGTTATGTTATTTTTAGAGTACGAAGGATGATGAGCTACTCAACCATGAAGGATGAGTTGTTGTGCGATGCGTGGCTGGCCGTATCCGCGGAATTCGTAGGCAGCACCAAAGGGCCACCCTTCTGGGAGAAAGTGCATGAAAAATTTCACCCAGAAAAGCACATTGCGCCCTACGACGTGTGCATCATGCGACCATGCAACATGAGGTCGTTGTCGTATCACTTGCACACTATCCAGGTCAACGTCATCTAGTACTGCAACTTGATCAGTCAGCTCGAGGTAAGGTGGCCATGGTACACAGGCATGGAGGAGATGGTAAGTTTTACTTCCTTTTGCTAAACTTGTTGATTGATTCATTCACTCAATGTTGGTCTACACATTATATGCAGCCCGCACGCACCGCCATGATGTACCACATGTCAACGGGACGGCCATTTACGTGCACACACTGATGGATGAAGCTGAAGGAAAAATATGTGTGGTAGGACATGATCCGTTCCTGAAAAACTTGTTGGACATCCGGGATCTAGCCGAATTTGAGACCTTGTTGTACTAGAGTTAATTTACATGCTATGTGGATGATTTGTGCTATTTTCTATTCAAACCTTGATGAATATCGGCCGGTTTGAATGAATTTTATCCAGTTGGTTAAAATGTGGTTTAAAACATATGCGGCTAGTGTTGAATGGTTGCCTCCCGCATCCATGTCCATAGACTAGCCCCCTGTCTGCGGACGAATGCGAAAGATCTTTTGCAGGTTACTGTTGGAGATGCCCTAACACATACTAACAAACTTAAGCATTAAAAAACTTATATATTTATAAAATATCAGGACTTTAATTTAAACTTTGTCAAGGCATCACCTCATCTATCTTCCAAGCAAAGCATAAAGTGGAGGAGGATCAGCTTTATGCTATGGGAATTGCAAGGGCTACAAGCATAGATGATTTATACTTTGTCAGAGCATATATAGCCGGACGTCTCAAATCCGTCTTATATGTTCGGGCAGGCCCGGTCGCAAAATTTTGATTCAGACGGACGTCTCAAACGACCCTCAAACGCCCGGGCTGACCGGCACCCTCATATTCAGCCCAAATATAGGGTGAATATGGGGGCGCCCAGGCATGCCCGCTACGTCGGACCCGGCCCATGTTGGCTCACCAGACCCTACATATATTTCTCCCCATCCGCTCGCTGGAACAAACCCTAACCACTTCACTCCAGTTCCCTCTGCTACCCAAGCTCGTCTCCGGCGCCGTCGGTCGTCTCCGACATGGCGGGCAACGGATCCGAGTCCTTCACCTCCAGATTTGTCGACTCCGAGCTCATCCCTCGCGGCCCCGAGGAGGAGATGGTCGTCCAGCTTGCGCTCCGTCGCACCTGGGAGGAGGCGCTCGGACTCCTTCCGTCGGGAATCCATTGCCTCCGCCCAAATGGCATGGATCCAGTGCTAGGCCAACCGTGGTGGCCTCGCCGGAGGCGGTGCGGTCCGTCCGGCGCCTGAACACGGTGGCGAACGCGCACCCCCTCCGTTGGCGCGCCGAGCATCAGGACGCACCATGTGCCTGGCCCGACGAGAACATGTCACGGCGTGCCCGCCGTGCCAGGCACCGGGAGCGGGAGGCGGCAACAACCCTCGCAACAGTGGACGTCGGCGGGGCGGAGTTGCATTCTCCGGCGCCCCGTATGGCGCATCAGTCCGGGCACCGCTACCGCATCGTGGTGGACGTCGGCGGCTCGTCTCAGGATGGATCCATCGATCTGACGTCCACCGACACCGTTCGGGTTCCGGGCTCCGACGAGGAAGAGTAGGGTATGGGAGACGGCGACACCTGAGTCCCGTGAGCCGGCTGTGTTCCATGCCCTACTTTACCTTGCCAACGACCAAACCAACATTCTGAGGGACGCAGCCGGCCGCTGGACATGGCCACGGCAGAGCCGGGCGAGCGGGGAGTGGAACCGGACGAAGCTCCGCTCAAAGTTCGCTGCGTTGTATGTAATAATATGGATTTGAGATATCCGTATGTAAAATGCATTTTTTGAAGCGTGACCGATCACTGTCCGCGTCTGCGGGCACGTCTTTGGGCATTCTAGGAAGTCCGATGTAGATGCTCTCAAGGCATCACCTCACCTATCTTCCAAGCAAAGCATAAAGTTGAGGAGGACCAGCGTCCGGGGAGTTGCAAGGACTGCAAGCATAAATGTAAGAGGAGCGCATGTTTTGCCCATACGCGTGTGCCTACTCCATCTCGCTCCGAAGTCCGAAGAACGGAGCCGGCGTCCGTCCGGTGAGCGCCGGCGCCAAGGCTCCCGTTCATGTCGACTTCCGGCGAACGGTGACTTGTGACGGTCGGAGGTGGCGGCACTATCGGCGTAAGATGGGATCAGCTAAATTTTGTAAATATTTTTTGTGATAGCATCTGTAAGAGTTTTGCACTCAACCAGCCAATATTACGGAGTTGTTATGCCATAGAGGCTTAAGCCAAAGCAGAAGGGACTAAAAGTGACAAGACACAAAAAAGAATGGTAAAACTAAGGGCAACACCTATTCATAAGCATTCACCCATGTCTTCTGAAGATCGCATGACATTAATCTCCAAGGTGCAGCAAGCTCGTTTCACTCTCTCCCCCAACCTCCTCCGATCCTTTTCTAGCAGAGCCCAAAACCACGCCCAGACTTTTGATGATACAATGGTATATGCCAACCTGAATTATTTATACTAACATATCAACCCGCGCTACTACACGGGCTAGTAATTTTAGGAGAAATAAGTATTAGAAGTTGCTGATTAATTTATGCCCATGGCTAATAGTAAAAACTGTTTATTTTGCTTTTTATTGTTTGTTCATATTTTACCAAAATAGTAACACAGATACTTTGCAATCTTTATCTAGTTGTGATAGACTTTAACTACCAAGGCCACTATATGCCTTGTCCACATGGCACCGCAACCAAAGTTTCCCTAGGAAAGACAGAACAGCATAGGGCGTGTGTTCCCTCAAAAAAAAAAAGCATAGGGCGTGTGTTTCTTTCCCTATGTGTGCCTGAGGTAACCGTAGGGGTATGATCTTTCCCAACATTTGCTAATTCACTTCAAGGAAACATTTAAAGCGTAGGGGAATTGGTGATTTCTAGTAACACCTTCATATGTGTTTGCCTGTGTTAAGTTGAAACAATAGCATAAGTTCTACATCCAAAATGGAAATTGATGTTTAAAGAAAAAGGATATATCCCTCGGCCTCTGCATCTGGACGATGCATGTAAACATTTTATTAGTTATTCACAAAACGAAAATCGATGTGCTCATACCTTCATGTATAAATGTATATGTGGTTTGTACGGTGAACGGTGATACACGTTATGCATTACACCATAGTTTTTTTTAATATTAACAACAGCGGAACTGAAATAGATAATATAGGCATACTTTGGGTTATTCTATTAATAAAAAATGTCAGTAATTTATTTATAGACAAAATTAGGGAATTACTTTTTATTATCTTTTATAATGGAATATGCCGCTTATTAGATGAAGATTTAGAGGTTAATTTAAATTATTATTTTTATAATAGCGTAGCTGAGTAGTTTACATATAAATTTAGGGGGTTGTTTTAGACTCTATTTTATAATGACAATTGTGAGCAGTTTCTTTTAGAAAATAGAATATATCCAATAGCTACCATTGTTGCTGGGGATTAGTAATATTAAGATTAGAAGGAAAATGGCACATGCCACTCTTCTAGTTTATCTCCTGGAAAAAGGTTATTAGTGTGTTTCAGACAAAATGTTTAGTTTCTTAATAGATACTGTAATTGCGAATCTGACAATGAAGTAAAGCTGATAGTTCGCGAACCCATATAGGTTCTCAAGCGTGCGACGGCGTAAGTCGCCATGATAGTCGACAACCATGTCGATGGAGGCCAGATGGCGAAAGAACTGCTCAGGTACGGTAATGGTAGTAAGCTTGCTAATGTATCATCTTTATTAATGGGTCCTTCGGTTGCTTTTTTTCCGGTTGCTTATTTTTCATCCCTAATAATTTCTTTCTCCCGTGCTGAAAAGGTTCATAGTCCCTCTCCGACATCCTTTCCGGCATTCTCAACTTGTTAAATGGTTCATGGCAGGTCCATACCCCTTCATGTCCTTGTGTTTTGCTAATGTGGCAGTGCCATGATTGATGAATAGATTGGAAATTTCTCTTGTAAAAAAAATGAAATTTGGGATCGATAGATGAAGAACGGGAGAGCACTGATTTTTCTTTTATGAAGATATATAGTAATAGTAGGGTCTAATTACATAATTGTTTGGCCAACAAGCGGTAAAATTCGCGTCTAGACATAGTGGACGCTATGTTGGTACTGCCACGTCAGCGAGAACATGCCCACGAAGGGGTATGGACCTTCCATGAACCACTTGACAAAGTTTAGAGTGTCAGAAATGCATTTTGCAAATTCATGGACTTTACGAAAATTCTACGGGCCTATTACGGGGTCTGTTTGTTAACTTCTCCATCCCAGCTAAGCTTCCCCATAAAAGCCCATTGTCAAAGCTCTGGACTTAGTGGCACCACCATATAAGTCTAGGAGCCGCCTGTATATTTAACTCTGTATAGAAAAATAAACCTAAAGTACACATACATGCAAAAAGCAAGCGATAGAAAGAGAGAGGGAGTGTGTGTGTCCAGTGTTTGCAATTTTTTTTAAAAAGTGAACTCGAGAGAATCTACTATACATTTTCCTTTCATGGTGCATCTACAGTACTCCGCGTATAAAATTTGGTCAAAGTCAAACTACAAAAAGTTTGGCCAAATTTATATCAAAGAATATGAACATCTACAATACTACTAAAACTATATAGTATGAAAATACATTTCATGGTGCATCTGATAATATCGATTTCATATTGTGAATGTTGATATTTTTTAATATAAAATTAATCAAATTTTACAAATCTTTACTTTGACCAAACTTTATACGCAGACTAAAAAGAAACAGAGGGAGTACTTTAATTAAAGTCCCCAGGACCCAACCAACAATTTAAGAATATTGTTAGGCCATATAGACATACTGGTAAACATATGTTAAACTCGTAAGCATATGATGATATGAATATGTGCACACCATTATTACCTGCTGAGTATAGACTCATACATACATCCGCACCAATGCACGCACGGTGCTTGTGCATTGATTCCTGTCGCACCAATGTTCGTGCAGCGTGTCCTCCGCACATCAACTTTGGGACAAATGGGAGGTGCAGTGCTTGGTCCTTGCCAGCTTCACCCTGCAGGCCTTCTTCCTGTTCGCCGCAGGCATCCGGCGGCGCAACAAGTCCGCCGTGCTCCGCATCCTGCTCTGGCTGGCGTACCTGTCGGCCGACTACGTGGCGGTCTTCGTCCTCGGGCACCTGACCATGAAGATGGACGACCCGCTGGTGCTGCTGTGGGCGCCCGTGCTGCTGCTCCACTTGGGCGGGCAGGAGACCATCACGGCCTTCTCCATGGAGGACAACGAGCTGTGGAAGCGCCACCTCCTGGGCCTCCTCACCCAGGTGGCGATGGCCGTCTACGTGGTGGCCAAGTCCTGGCGCAGCAGCAACGGCGGGCTCCTTGTCGCCCCCGTCGCGCTCATGTTCGTCTCCGGCACCGTCAAGTACGCCGAGCGGACATGGGCGCTCAAGACGGCCACCTCCGACACCATCAAAGACAGCCGCATGAGCGACCTGTACGAAACCATGAAGACGAGACAGGGCGAGCCTTCTGCTGCCGCCAGTTCGGCGGTCCGGATCCAGAGGTACAACCAAGACATTGTTGGCCGTCAGAAATGGTGGCTCCAGGAGGAGTACGCCGACCTCGTGCAAGCGGCCGGCGACAGCTTCCCCAACTGCATGAACGCGCTGATGGACATCCCTGTCTCGCCATGGGTGCAGCCTCATATATTGGGCATGGCCGAAGAGATCCAGAGCCTCCGTGGGCCGGCAGGTGCAGGCGGCAGCAGGGAGGACACGTTCCCGTCCAGGGCGTACAAGCTGGTCGAGATCCAGCTCTCGCTCATGTACGACCACCTCTACACCAAGGTTGGCCTGCGGTACGCCCAGCGTTGGCCGGTGGTCGGCCTCGGCCTGCCGCTCCTCACGTTCGCCACCACCTTGTCGGCTCTCGCGCTGTTCGCTGCGGCGGCGAGGAAGAAGGGCAGCGGCGCCGTCGACGTCGCCGTCTCCTACGTCCTGCTGGCCGGCGCCGTGGCGCTGGAGGTGCTTTCGATCCTGACCGTCACGCTGTCCTTCCGCTCCTACTGCTTCCTGCGGGACAAGCTTGGCGCCGGCGGCAGGCTCACGCCGGCGGTCTTCTGGCTGGTCAGGTGCCTGAGACCCTACGACAAGCCGCTGTGGTCCAACAAGTGGGCGCAATACAATCTGCTCGCCGGATGCATCAAGGAGAAGCAAGCCGGCGTGTTCACGAGGGCGATGCGTCGCGTCGGCCTGGCCGGGGACACCGAGCTCCGCCGCATCTCTGACGAGACCAAGGCGCTCATCTGCAACGAGCTGGACGACGAGCGGAGGCTGCACGTGTTCAGCCACGCCCGGGGCACGGCGATCCTGTCGCTGAGTGGGCACGGGGTGGGCTCGCAGCTGCACAAGAGCATCTCCAAGGTGGACTTCTCCACCAGCGTCGTCATGTGGCACCTCGTCACCGACATGTGCTTCTTCCTCGGCGGCGAGCCGGCTAGGGACGGCCGCCGGCACATGGCTCTGGCACGGGAGGTTTCCAGCTATCTCATGGACCTCGTCATGGAGCGGCGCGTGCTAATCAGCAGCGAGGGCCACGTCGCGCACCGCAAGGCCCGCGACGAGGTGAAGCGGATCCTGGAGGGGGCGAGGGTCGACGCGGCTGACGCCGACGCCATGAGGAAGATGCTCGAGGCCGGCGGGGGCGCGGTGCCGGAGGGGGTGGACTCGTACGAGTCCATGCGGCCGGTGCTGCCCAGCGCGTGGAGGCTCGCGCAGCTGCTGCTCCAGCAGGACCGGAACACGGAGACAGGTGGCGGCGGCGGCGCTCCGTGGGAGATGATCGCGTCGGTGTGGATCGAGATGCTCTTCCACCTCGCCACGCGGTGTGAGGCCGGCTTCCACGCCAAAAATCTCAGTACCGGCGGGGAGTTCATCACTCATGTCAGGTTCCTGCTCCACAATCGGGGGATCGGCTGGAACTTCATCATTGGCCGTTTAAATTTACAGTCTCGCTAAGTTCCGGTCAGTCCACTGAGACTATATCCATGAGATCTTACATTAAGATCCGTTCAAAAAAAATTCTCAGTTTATCTTTTTCTCTCTAACATGTCACTTGATTGAGACTTGTTTAAGTCTCAGTCGACTGAGACCTAACCACAACCTTAAATTTACTCAAGAATCAATTCATTTCCCGTTAATATAAGGGAGAAAGACTTTAATCAAGTTTTAGTTTTAAATTCAATATAAGAGAAAAGGTACTGTTCTATAAACTCTTCCTATTTCGCACCATTTCCTTTATTTATTTTTGTGTTGTCAATGCATGTGGGAAATGATCTTGCACTCACATGTGAGTCGTCCTTTCGTATTTATTTTCTTTTATTTTTGAAGGAAAAGGAGTGCAACTTACTGAGCGAACCATATGTCCACAGAGATGGCATGATCTAGACTGAATATATATTTCTTGTAGTGAAAACGCATGAGAAACTGGAAAATATTATTGAATTATTGGAACACAATGTTTGGCTTTTATTGTTCTGAAAGATCCTAATGTTTTACTCTTCAAATCAAATTATTCCTTCCATTTTACAATAATTTTCAACTATTACTTTCTTATTTAAAATTCAGTTATTTTATCTTTAAAATACATGTAGCAATGTTAGGTACCATTGATGAAGATTAGCAAATTAGTGTTCCCACGTTTAATAAAACTAGTCATTGTGTACGTGCAATGCACGTTAATTTGAAAGTATATTAAGTGCATGCGGATATTAAGTAGGATATTATTTGCGTGTTATTATGTGATTAGCACTATATTTGGCATGAAATTAACTGCACGCTAAACGTGTTGAGCGCTCGACATTGAAGCAGTCTAGGTCGTTGGATTGACATGATTTGATAACCAAGATTAATTGGATCTGCCCCTTTGAATCTTTTTATATTTGTACAGATGTATAGATGTATAGATGTATAGATATTACTGACCTGTTAACCTATAAACACTATCAGGTCCTTGGAGTCTGGAACCAACCTGTGGTTGGATGGTTAGAGGGACTGTGGCCTACGGTGACTTTGTAAATCTCAAGATGATAGAGTCTGCATGAGTGAGTAACGACCACGTACAGATCTAAGCAGTGGCTCTATAGATAACATGCAAAAAGTTGATAAATTTTTTCCGGTTAAAGATCATATCGTTTCTGTTGTTCCATATAGCCTAAAGTAGAGCACATATCCCTATCCGAATATGTGTCGCTATATTTGGTTCCACTTTATTTAGTCATGTCCTAAATAACGTGTTGATGGAAGATGGAGGAGTAACGTTGAAGACTATATGTATGGTGCGCCATAGTAGTTTTGCCAATGGGCAATCGAGAAAGAGGTGTTGTATAGTTTTATTTTGATCACAAAAACAACATCTAGAGCTACCTACCCATCTTCGCTTAGCCAAATTATCTTTCGTTAAGATCACTCCCTTGTGGACAAACCACATGAAAATTTTAATTCTAAACGAGACTTTAATCTTTCGGATATGAAGAAATCTTGGAATTTACCCAGAATCAATTAAATCTAAATACATAGACTTCATTGAGAAACTACCGTTCGTAGCTAGTTTCCCGTGCATCAAGAAGATTATGCAAGGGTGATGCAGAGCGCAGCCTTTTGCACCAGATAGAAGCATACAAACAAGGCGAGAGACTACCAGTGCAAGAATCTATTGGGTTGGGACAAATCAAAAGTTCAGCTAAGCCGAACGGTACGAAGCACATATGGCTAATTACTAAAGTCTAGACGAACTACAGTTCCACCGTCAAATTACAAAGTTAAGCTAGACTAACTGTGAACCATCAAAACGCCAACCAAATTATACTGTATCACATAAGCCGTCCAGACTCAAAATTAGAGTCGCACACGTTGCTTATCTTTTTTCTTTTTTCTTTTTGAAGGAAATAGCAGGAGCACTGCTTGTCATTTAAGAAGGAGAAACAAATCAGGGTTACAGATGTTTGATTACATACAAATTAAGATTACACTCAAGATGGAATGAGGCTGAATCTATTAGGGGATTAGATTACATGTGCTCCACACGTTGCTTATCGAACAACAGTCATTTGTCTATCAGCACGGTTCAGTAGCTGGCCTTCCTTTCTGGTCCCCGTTACCTTGGCGTGGGTAATCAGAGGACGTCACTTGACCTCAGCACCACTAGCAACTGTTGTAGCTGGCCTAATATTCTTTTGCATCCATCTATGTGTATGTAATAATATATTTTTAGGGAAAAACATCTTTTGTATCTTTTTTAAGGAGAACATGCAGTAAATCTGCCATTTAACGTATTGATAGAGGAGGAGAGCAAAGTTAGGGAGTAACAAAAATCAGTGGTTAGGTTCCACCTCATTAGATCCAGAGTCTTATGCAGAAGGTGTATTTCATGGAGTTATTCCTGTAGATTGATGAACTATACAAAGTGCTGCAGTTTTTCTTTTCTTTTTTTGGTGAAACTACAAAGTGCTGCAGATTGACTAGTCTTGAAACATTTACTAGAAGGAAACGCGAGCGTTGCTGCTCCGTTTTTCATCCATCAAGAACAAAATATATAGAAGTACTCCAGTCAATTTAGCAGAAAACCAACAGTTTCAATGACACCACAAACTAAGAGGAAATTTCATTGAATTCCCTAGTCCATCATCACATTCTCACTTGCCTCCCCCAACTACTATTCCTACATTTGGGCCTCCTAAGTCATGTCTTACTTTCACAAAAGATGACACTTCCAAATAAGGCATTAATCAAAAGTTATTTTACCCAGAGAAAAGCATATCAAATATCTGGAGTCAAGTTGGATGTGAGTTGATAATAATAAGAAGACCTGAAAGATGAAGATACCTCTTAAGAATAAAATCTTTGTGTGGTATCTTCGTCGTGGAGTCATTCTAACTAAAGATAATCTTATTAAGAGATATTGGCATGGAAGTTCGCAATGTGTTTTTTGTCACCATGATGAGACAATAAAGCATTTTTTTTCTTCCAATGCAAATTGGCTCGTTCTATATAGTCAATCATCCAGATAGCTTCTGGCTTGTATCCTCCTTGTATTGTTGCTAATGTATTTGGCAACTGGTTACATGGGATTGATCACAGGTTTAGAACTCTTCTTAGGGTTGGAGTGCTTGTCGTTATCTGGTCGCTTTGGCTATGTAGAAATGATAAGGTTTTAATGATAAAAGTACTTCTTTGATGCAGGTTATCTACAGATGTACCAGGACTCTTCGTTTATGGTCCTCTCTGTAACACCTGGAGAATCAAGACCTGTTTACGGAGGTGTGTACACAATTGGAGGATACAGCGAGGGATACTTTTACCCAACATGGGTGGCAACATGATCTTAGGATTGTCCCACCTCAACTTTAGGCGTTATACAGACTCTACATGTTTCTTTGTATTTTGCCTTTTTTATATTTTGTTCGTGCGAGAGGATTTTGTTTGGCTGTGTGCATCTTAGTTATGCAGAGGCCGGGTGTAATGCTTAAACCTTTTAAGTAATAAAGCGCCCCTTTTCGAAAATGTATGCCTCCATTAGCAAAAGTAACAAAGTAGCACCAAGGGCCATGCCTACACAACTCCCTTGGAACAAAGAGAAACCTGAAAGAGTGATACGCTGAACCTGAAGGAAATATGCCCTAGAGGCAATAATAAAGTTGTTATTTATATTTCCTTATATCATGATAAATATTTATTATTCATGCTAGAATTGTATTAACTGAAAACTTCATACGTGTGTGGATACATAGACAAAACACAGTGTCCCTAGTAAGCCTCTACTAGACTATCTCGTTAATCAAAGATGGTTAAGTTTCCTAACCATAGACATGTGTTGTTATTTGATGAAGGAGGTCACATAATTAGGAGAATGATGTGATGGAAAAGACCCATCCATTAGCTTAGCATATTGATCGTTTAGTTTTATTGTTATAGCTTTCTTCATGTCATATACATATTCCTTTGATTATGAGATTATGCAACTCCCGGATACCGGAGGAATACCTTGTGTGGTATCAAACGTCACAACGTAACTGGATGATTATAAAGATGCTCTACAGGTATCTCCAAAGGTGTTTGTTGGGTTGCCATAGATCGAGATTAGGATTTTTCACTCCGAGTATCGGAGAGGTATCTCTGGGCCCTCTTGGTAATGCACATCATAATAAGCCTTGCAAGCAATATGACTAATGAGTTAGTTGCGGGATGAAGTATTACGGAATGAGTAAAGAGACTTGCCGGTAATGAGATTGAACTAGGTGTATGTAGATACCGACAATCGAATCTCGGGCAAGTAACATACCGATGACAAAGGGAATAAAGTATGTTGTCATTACGGTACGATCGATAAAGATGTTCGTAGAATATGTGGGAACCAATATGAGCATCCAAGTTCCGTTGTTGGTTATTGACCAGAGAGGTGTCTCGGTCATGTCTACATAGTTCTCGAACCCGTAGGGTCCGCACGCTTAACGTTCGATGACGATTTTGTATTATATGAGTTATGTGATTTGGTGACCGAATGTTGTTCGGAGTCCACGATGAGATCACGGACATGACGAGGAGCCTCGAAATGGTCGAGAGGTAAAGATTGATATATAAGACGATGGTATTCGGACACCGGAAGTGTTCCGGAGGTATCGGGTACATATCGGGTCACCAAAAGGGGTTCCGGGCACACCCTCGGCAACTACATGGGCCTAATGGGCCAAGAGGGGGACAGACCAGCCCCTAAGGGGCTCATACGCCCCCATGTAGGCCAAAATAGGAGGAGAGGGAAAGATGGGAGGGGAGAAGGAAAGGGGAGGATTCAACCCCCCTTCCTTTGAAGGAAATATGCCCTAGAGGCAATAATAAAGTTATTGTTTATTTCCTTATATCATGACAAATGTTTATTATTCATGCTAGAATTGTATTAACCAGAAACATAATACATGTGTGAATACATAAACAAACAGAGTGTCACTAGTATTCCTCTACTT